TCGGAGCGGTTCGGCTTTTTCCGGAATTATATCGCCAACTATTGTTTATTCAAATTTATTATTATTTTCTTTTAATTTTATAAATAAAATACAGTGTGTTGCATACAAGAAACTTTATTTTATATAAGGTATATTTATGTATAAATACCTATAAAACATTGGAAACCGACGTTATGCCACGATCCACGATGGTTTTTCCAGTTCACAGTTCACAGCACAGGTTTTTAAGTTTCTAATGCCACTTTGTCACAATTATCACCGGTTGGAGTAAATAAAACTTGAATTAAACTCAAAGATAGCAATAATTACTTTGAAAATCGACGCTATAAACACTTTTCAGAATTTCTTTAACGAGAGCGGTTTAGATTTTGAAAGACTTTATGCATAGATAAATGAAACAAGTTTAGATTGGAAAGTGCCCATAATAAGGACAATGTAAACACTATTTGGCGCTAATTCTTGCAACGGTCGCGACCCAAAACTTTTGAAAATTTCGGAGCGGTTCGGCTTTTTCCGGAATTATATCGCCAAATATTGTTTATTCAAATTTATTATTATTTTCGTTTAATTTTATAAATAAAAGACATTGCGTTGCATACAAGAAACTTTATTTTATATAAGGACGCATGCATGAAATACCTATGAAACATTGGAAACCGACGTTATGCCACGATTCACGACATGGTTTTTGCAGATCACAGTTTACAGCACAGCTTTTTAAGTTTTTAGTGCCACTTTTTCACAATTATCACCGGTTGGAGTAAATAAAACTTGAATTAAACTCACAAGATAACAATTATTACTTTGAAAATGGACGCTATAAACACTTTTCGGAATTTCTTTAATGAGAGCGGTTTGGATGTTGAAAGATTATTATGATTTTTGAAGATTCTGACTTTGACAAGAGCAAATTATTTCTGTTTTTGTTTGCCGTTGTTCTTAGCGACCGCTACAGCAGCGCCAGATCCCGTATAACGGTCGCGACCCAAAATAATTTCGCGACCTAAAATTTTTACGGGCTTTCCAATCTAAACTTGTTGCATTTATCTATGACTTTATGATTTTTGAAGATTCTGACTTTGACAAGAGAAAATTATTTCTGTTTTTGTTTGCCGTTGTTCTTAACGACCGCTATAGCAGCGCCAGATCGCGTATAACGGTCGCGACCCAAAATAATTTCGCGACCTAAAGTTTTTACGGGCTTTCCAATCTAAACTTGTTGCATTTATCTATGGCTATGACAACGACAATATTTTTTGAGAATTTGACAATAGTATGACAATGGCCGTTGGAAACTATGGAAACTACAAAAAAATTATGATTTAACGTCATCTGGCAATAACTAGTAGCAACTTCTTAACCTAAAAATTAATTGCACTACCACCTAGCGCCTGAGGCTGGAACTATTTTATTTGAAATCTCGGTGGAAACGGTGGAACCGCTTTTGCTATTTCACTTTCCCGCCCCTGATCGGTAATAACAGGAAAGCGAAAAAAGCTATTATTAAACTGACATTAAGTGTCAAATTCAACGAGTGTCGTAACCATAGTTTCTCGATATGTAATTACATACAAGGTATAACTTTTAAATCTTTTTATATTTGGAACGTTTGAAATTGTTTAAAAAATTATTTGTGGCGCTTGAAAAAAATAGCACGTTCTAGTGACTTTTTGTACCTCGGCTGTATGTCGGACTAACTAACCTTAGTCCATCAAGAGCCTCGCCACAAAAATTGTCATTTTTACTCCTAACAAAACAATATAATGGCAGCATTCAGCAGACGTCCTCTATTAGTAATCGATTATTGATCATGTGCTGAACGCACCTGAAAATTTCCGATGACTAATCGACGATTGGTAATCGGACGCCATTTTTGTAATCGTTCGCAAAGAGCGATTTGTGATTAGCGATTACCGATTTGTGTATATGAAAAGTGATAACAATATGACAATCTCTGAATAGCATGCAGAAGAAAGAATAAGTAGGCAGTCATTGAATATTTATTTTTTATTTATTTCATCTTTTTATTTAATATGTGGGCATTGATCGTTTTCAGGTTGGAGTACATTAAATTAAATTTTCAACTTCTGTGAAATATCATTAAATATAATATAATACATATAGTGGCAAATGTTTTGAATCTAGTTTGAACTTTAGCATAATATATTTTTTTCAAACGTCACAAAAGTATTAATTTTTGCGACGTGATTAACAATATAAAAAATTTTTAACGCCTAAGCATAAAAGTACGAAAATATATTAAACTGACATAAAGTGTCAAATTCAACGAGCGTAACTATAGTTTCTTGATATATAATTACATAGAAGGTATAACTTAAATCTTTTTATATTATTTGGAACGTTTGAGAAACTGTTTAAAAAATTATTTGTGGCGTTTGAAAAAAATGGCACGTTCATTGACTTTTTGTGCCTCGGCTGTATGTCGGACTAACTAACGTTCGTCCCTCAACAGCCTCGCCACAAGAAGTGTCATTTTTACTCCTAATAAAACAATATAATTATTTTTGGCATAGAATGTTTGTTTATTGTACAACTATTCTTTTCTAACTTTTCAAAATTACACACCACCAAATAATCACGTCACTATAGGATGACTTTTGTTTTGTTTACAATATGTATATAATGCAGCTATTGTAAATTGCAACTTATATTTATATTAAGTAACATTAGAAGTTCTCTCTGTGTATAAATAGATACGAGGTCATTGTTTTTTGCAATTGGTTGTCCTTTTTTTATTTCTTTTTAAGTAAAAGTATTATTTATATAACACATTGTTTTAATAAACATATTCCTATTTTTATTATTCAATATCATTGAAATTAATACGCAGAGGTACAGGGTGGGTCAAATTGGACGCTTTTAAAGGGAAACACCCTTTTCTAGAGATAGACGAAAAATAATATCGGTGTCTGGAGCTCAATTTTTATCAAAAACATGATGGTGAAAACCGCACATCGATACCTGTACTGTTTCGGAGTTACGGGGTTTATGAAAACATCCAAAGCACCTTTTTACCTAGAATTTAATGGTTTAAGTGTAATTTTTTTAAAATTAATAATTTTAAGATTTATCAACAGAAAAATTGGTTTTTTATTTGGGACACCCTATATATTTTTAATAAAGTGAAAAGAACTTAAAATTACCTTTCCAAAAATTTAGCACACTTGGTATTTTGTTATAGTCCCCTTCGAAATATAGAATTTTTATAAGTTTTAGTAGCCACTTTTAAATAGTAAGTAGGCTTTGGACCCCTTATTGATGATCTGCCCCTAATGGAACTTTGAAAACATATTTTTCCAGCAAGACGAGGCACCGCCACATAACGCTGAAGTTATCAGCAAATTTTTGCAGCTAATTTCGAGAATAATTGAATAGCTAACCAAGGTTCCAGCCGTTGGCCGTCGAGGCAGCCGGACTTAGTGCCTGTTATCCTTAGTGGATTTTTATCTTTGAGAAACAATAAAGATTCTTATTTTTAAATTACCCGTATAATCTAGACAAGAATTAGAAGTTCTTTGTGGTTTGAAGTGTGAGGGTATCTTTTCCCCCACTGAGATAATTAATTCCGCGGAAAATGTTCTGCTAATTAATAATACGCCACTGTTTCATGACAAAATTGAAGAAACTAAACTAAAACTAGTTTTAGCGAACCCTAATCGACATTTGATTTCGGAAAATCGACTATACATAATATATCATATTTTACACAAAATTGTAAAATTTCCAGGGATTTTGTGCCTAAACGGTTGACTTTAGCGAAAATTTTTATAAAACATTTTTTATAGGAAATTTTATTCTCTTTAATTTTGCTCTCCTCAAATTTTCGCCAAAAACGCATAGTTTTCGAGATATTCACAAAATACCGATTTTGGGCGCTATCATGGCAAGATGTCGGCGCCAGCGGTCTAAGTCTGGAAATGTACATTTTATGGATTTTAGTTCGGGATCCCAAAACCTATAAACCTGCAAAGTTGCAAAACTTGCGGACTTTTTTCCAAGCAAAAATCCCCAATGACTGAACTATTCTTTTAATTAAAAAAAAATAGTCCCATGTGTTCATGTCTATGGATTTGGTATGAAGGTTTCTTCTTAAATTGCAATACGTTTAATTACTCCTTTACCTACAATTTGATCCTCTATTAGCGCCTGTTGGCATTTAATAAAGAGCAGAAAAAGAAGATTGTCCTTGAGTAATCATTAACATCATAGATCAGGACAGTGGCCATATCTGCAGGACTGTGGTACCAAAATGTTTGTTCCGATGGTTGTTGCGTTAATTTTTTTCATGCAATGACGTAATGGAGAATGTCATAGATCGTCATTTCCAAGCCAACTGCACGCCGTTTTTTTTCGACCATACGGCATTAGCTATGAATGGACTGAGCTATGCAGAAGAGTAGTTATTGAATCAGTTTTAAATAGTGGATTCCGACGAATTAACTATCTGTGCGCTGTGGTTGTCATTTTGTGGATCTGCCCAAGCTCACCTGATGATGGAGTAGGGCTTCGAAACCGGTAGTGAGAGCAGGTTGATCCACATTATGACAAACACAAAGTAGAATTAAATTTCTATATCAGCAGTTAAGTGGCAAGAATCCTTATATAATGTTATTATATTTACATATAAAATGACAGCGATCTTCATTTCATAGCCATCGTTGACGCCGTATTTATTCGATCATACGGTATAACTTCATACTTCCATGATAAGAATTTCGCTTGATTTTTGTTTAAAATCTAAATTGTTTATGTTTTACTATATTTTTGTAGGTAGTTTTTAATGTAGTTTTTATGTAGTTTTTGAAGGTAGTTTTTAAAATTTTAAAACGTAGTTAAAACAAGAAACTACACGTAGTTTCTGGCGTAGTTTTTTGCTTCATAAACTACTTAACAACCCTGTTTATTAGTTCTTTGAACGGAAATCCGTACGGTTGACAACCCTGCAAGTTCCATCCCAGATAACTTTCAATCTATGGTGTCACTTTTTCCAGTGGCAGAGATTAGTGTGTTCTGTGGCAAAGATACATGTTTATGATCGGTGGTCAGTGGATAGAACCATCCTGTAGAACAATCATAACAAAAAGAATAAAAAATAAAAGTTAGAAAAAGGTATGATAATTCAGAAATTTTATTTTTATAGTAGGATAAACATGGGATAAACACTTTAGGTATTTACTGTAAGCCTTGTCCTTAAGCAATTTTTTATGTTTTTTAAAATGTCATGTTGTTTCGTGGTATAATTATATTTAGCCTGTTTTTACTTTATTAATAATCTATATTGAAATAGTAATGCTTTCATAATCAAATAGATATATTAAAGTTTATTTAAGAATTATTCCTTTTTAGATATATTCACCTACCTTATCTAGTGGTTAAATATTTAAAATTATGCTATTGATAAAAAGGAGATTTATACGAAGGTGAGTGATGCATATATGTACATTGGTAGATTTATATATCTGAATACTTTTTAGTTTGATTATCTCTTAAATATTTCGACATTGTATTGGTATATTTAATTTTCTCGAAATTTTTGAAAACAGTTTTCAATAATGACTGAATCATTCAGGAGTCATAGTAATGATGAAGTTGTTGAGTCAATAGCAACTTTTACTGGTGGATTACTTCTACCTCTATTACCAGTGATTTTTGCTTTATTGGCTTATTTTGATGTGTAAGTATTATTGTTCACTTATTGTTTTCTTTGCATATTTTGTATAATGTTCTTTAAAAATTACTGTTAATAGAGGGTATCAGATTACTCATAAGTAGTGTTGTAAGTTGTAATAGAGAGAATATTCCCATTTGTGATGGGGGAAAGTTCTTCTTTATAAGAACAAGCATGAGCATAAAGAAGCATTTATAAGCAGAAACAAGAACATTCCCTATAAATAGTTTTTACATTTTTTAAAGCGATTCTTTATTTTTGAGTTTAAATAATATTAATTATAAGTACAAATTCTTTCTTGAGTTATGAGAGATACAAAAATATTAAATTAGACGAAAAATGAAAATAATGCGGTCCTGATCAAACAAACAGTCATAAGTTATGTCACAATATGACAAATCTATTATGATTTCTTCTTCAGAGATTTGTCCTAAATATTCTCAGTTATATTCGCTATGAAAAGTTACAAAAAGTACCTACACTGTAAACATTGATATATCACTCTGAATAGAATGATATAATATGTCATTTAACCAAACTATTCGTAAAAAAATGCTTTTTCTAAATATGCCAATGAGAAGGGCTATACTCTTTCCATTTGTTAAGATATGATTAAAAATATAATTCGGGCATCTTTTAATTGTCCAGGACAAGACGCGAAAAATAATAGACACTCAAGTCTATTTTTCCAAGGCATCTTGACTAAAATTAGTGTTTTTAACACAGCCATGACATTCTAGGTTGAAATTTAAAATACGATTTTTTTAAGCAAAAATATCAAAGTTGCCATATGATATGCCATTCTATTCAGAGTGTCATTTTCTATCGAATAAAGTAAAACTTGCATATATGTACTAACATACCAAATCTCGTTTTTTTATATGAAAAAATAAAAAAGTTATAGGGGGTGATCCACTTTTGAGACGTACCTGGTATATGTAATATTATACCGTATGATCGAATAAAAACGGCATCAGCGATGGCTATGAAATGAAGATCGCTGTCATTTTATATGTAGAATTATATGGGAAATGTCATCAATCGTTAATTCATAGCCATCGCTGACGCCGCTTTTATTCAATATTATATAGATTTGGCTACGGAGTTGTCGTTTTAATTCGCAAATTGCAGTATATGTAGTGTTGATATACAGGGTGTCCCAGGCTGAGCGCGCATTAGAAGTTTCTAGAGAACCACAATATCTAGATCGACAATATCTAGATCGGCGATTTGCACATCATTGTTTTACAACGAGATCTATCGATTAAAAATATTTTCAATATGGCGGCACTTCCGGAAATACCGGAAGTTGACAGCAACTTTCTTATTTTAAATGGGTGACCCCATTTTTTATTGTATACTTAAATTTTCTGTAAAATTTTATGAATTTTGATATTAAACACTCTATATCTAACATTAACCGTTTTTGAGAAAAAAAATATTTAAAATTTTTGGACACTATCAAGAAAAAACTAGAAAATAAGAATAAATTTTAGAAAAGTAACTGATTGAATTTCCAACCGATTTTCTTTGCGATAATAATTATAAATTCTCTACATTTGCTCGTTTATGCTTGTTTTTTGTTGGAGAATGTTCTCCAAAAATAAATTCTCAAGCATGATACAACACTACTCATAAGGGAGACTAAATAATATAATTTTATAAGACTCTATATTTTGTTTCAGAATAACATTTGGTGTATTTAAAGTCAGCTTGTCGATTTTCTTCTTTCTTTTTGTAATTTTTCCTATTATATACAAATATTCTTATACTTTACAAAGATATGCAGTATTCCTAACATTTGGTGAGTTTGATAGACAGTTTGATTGTGTTTTTATTTGCAACTATTCTTTGAATTTTAGTTCATGTACCATTAAATGCTGATTATAAGAATCCACAAAATTATGGTTTAAAGAATTCTAGAAATTTTTATATTAGTACAGATGATGGTGTGGATCTTGGGGTTTGGCAGATATTACCAGAGAATGCGTCGCAAATAAATGATGATAATGATGAACTTTCCTTTCAAAAGGTTATAAATAACGGACAGGATATTATCATTTATAGTCACGGTAATGGCGGTACTCGACTAAGTAGCCATAGAATTGAAATGTATCAAGTTTTGAGAAAGTATTTTCATGTATTTGCACTTGATTATAGAGGTAAGAATTTCTATTAATATATTTTTCAAGATTATACTGGGTGCGTCTCAAAAGTGGCTCACCCCTATAACTTTTCTATTTTTTCAGATAAAAAACGAGATTTGGTATTTTAGTATATGACATAAATTATAATCGATTGACGTATTCAATTGTTTTGTGTCACTTCCTGTTTCACCGGAAATGACTACAACGTTTGATTTTTAAATGGCACCCTCGGTATTTTTTTACTTTATTCGATAGAAAATGACATTCTAAATACAATGACATATCATATGTCAACTTTTGATATTTTTGCTTCAAACAAAATTGAATTTTAAATTTCAATCTAGAGTGCCATGGCTGTGTTAAAAACACTAATTTTTAATCAAGGAGCCTTGGAAAAATAGATTTGATCATCTAATGTTATTGGTGTCTTGTCCAGGTCGGTTAAAAGATAATCAAATCGTATTTTTAATCATATCTCAGTTTTTTGAAATGGAACGAGGGTGGCTCATTAGCATATTTGGGAAAAGCATTTTTTACGAATAATTTGATACCACACACTTGGTATTCCGAGTCAAATTATCCTTATCGCATGTTGCAATTTCTAATAAACCATATTCGAAAATGTCAAAAGTTGACATATGATACGTCATTCTATTCAGAGTGTCATTTTCTATCGAATAAAGTAGAAATATACCGAGGGTGTCATTTAAAAATCGAAAATTGTAGTAATTTCCGGTAAAACAGGAAGTGACAGAAAACAATTGAATACGTCAATGAATCCTAATTTATGTCGTATATTAATATACCAAATGTCGATTTTTTTATCTGAGAAAATAAAAAAGTTATAAGGGTGAACCACTTTTGAGACGCACCCGGTATAATAGTATTTTAAACTTAGAAATAGACATGAAACAAAAATTAAGTATTTTTTTGGCATGTCAAATAAACATTGATCCAAAAAATGTTCCTTTTGGATCAAATCAAAAACAAACCAAATGTTTTTTGTTAAAATTTTAAATAGTTGAAGTATTCTAAATTCCTAAGTACCGTAAAATGGGGGGAATAGAAACATAGTGGTGAAAATAAACAAAATTTCTGAAAAAAATCAAATCACGATTAAAAATATTCAAAGTAAAAAGAGTCGACATATCTAATTTTGCTATCATTGGTAATACACAATAAAATGTAAAAACTATATTTTTATCTGTGGCAGCACTGTTTCCGTCAATCACCTGATCAATAAATGTGAGATTGATTTATCACCTATTTTGTATGGCGCGAAAACTTTGTAAATAAAATATTTATTTTTAAAGTAATACATAAGCTGGTACATCTAAGTTGTTATATTATATGTATTGTTAATGATTGTTAAACCTACTTAAATATGTAATAATTTACTGTTTCTAATCACCTTGTTGAAGGTAGAATAGATAAAAACTTTAACATCAATGTGTGTCTCTATTCTCCCGAATAGCAGGTGAATAGAAACACAAATGTTATTTTTATTTAATATTTATACGCATATTTTTCAAAAATCAAATTATATGTATGCGCAAAGAACAAACAAAGACCCATGTTTTAAAATATTCGGGAAAATAATACCACATTTTTATCAACCGGTATATCGCTAATAGCCTACGAAACTGTTTCTATTCACCCCATTTTACGGTACTGCATTGGGAAATATTAACCTTAGTAGAAAACTGTAGCGTTTTTTTTAAAACACTACCACTGCGAACGGCAGCTTTTCATCGGAGAGCAGTCGTGGGTAAGGTATTTTACTAGAGCGAAAACTAATCAATAACAATAAACAAAAAAATACAGATATTGGGCGCCAGGCATGTGCAGAGAAAGAAAACACAGTTGTATATTACTTAAAACTAATGACTATATTTATTCATGATGTTCTTTGCTGGTACATGACATTGTAGAGTTCTAATAAATATATAGTGGTTATATGTCAAAAAAAATAGTATTAAGAGTTGTACTAAATATCTATAAAAGTAATACCATTACAAGACGTAATGTAATGAAACCTAAGATCTAAAACATATTTTAAATATTAAATCGACATGAATGTTCCTTAACAATCTAACCACTAGACATAGTCTGTACGATATTACTTAAGATGTACGTTATTGTTTAAGACTGAAAATGTTTAAAATGTTAAATGTAAAACTAGAACTTAAATCTACGCTTAGCTGTTCTTTATGTAATCTTGCTTCAAACAGTAACAGCGTGAGGTGGTCTCGCATTTCTGCACTCGGCCATCCAATACAACAAAAGGGGCCAGAATGAGGACACCATGAATTGATACAGCCGTAACTACTAACTGGCTTATAGATGGGAACGAAGCAGCATGGGGCTCAAGCTACATCCACGCTGGGGCACTTTATATGTAAGATAAATCACTCCTACTGGGGACACTCGTCCACGGGACATCCGTCCATAAGATAATGGTACAAGGGAACACTACCCGTACCTTGAAACACTACTACGACCTTGGATAATGCCTGTACCTTGGACACAGTCCGTCCATAAGATAACGGTACAGGGGAACACTACCCGTACCTTGGATACTACTAGGACCTTGGATAATGCCCGTACCTTGTAAATAGTCCGTCCATAAGACAATGTACGTCCATAAGATAATGTACGTCCATAAGACCCTAAAAATACGAAACTCTTGTTTAGAACCAAACAAGATCTAATAAACAAAATAAACCTACCTCGAAACACTTCCGAGGAGTTAAAATTACAAAAAAGAATATACATGGACAATTTTAGAACAGTACAGCAGTAAATAGATATAATTTTAAAGGTTATAGAATATTAAATACTTGACCTTTGACCAGTGTGTGAGATGATCAAAATTTTAAAATTCAAAATTGTTCAGAATTAAACATCAACAAAAGTCGTTTACCGCATATGGAGGGCTCTCTCCAGTAGGTATGATTTTAGAGCCTTGCGAAATGCGGGAAAGAATGAAAGCGATTTGATATTCAAAGGCAGATGATTGTACATTTTTTTGGCATTGTACAGTATTGAACCCTTAACTAGTTCTGAGCTCGGGGTTGGCAGATAAAGATCGTGCTCTGCATTCCTAAGTGGATAGTTATGAGATGGCCTTTCGGGAATAGCAGATATGTGCTTGCGGATTAAGCAAACGGATTCAAAAATGAATAAAGAAGGAAGAGTCAGTATTTTCAAATTTTTAAAGAAATTCTGGCAGTGAGTTCTACTGTTCAGTCCCAATAAATATCGAACTGCTCTCTTTTGAAGTATGAAAACACGATCAAATTTTGTTGCGCAGCAAGTACCCCAGAATGGAAGGGCATAACGAAGATGTGACTCAAAAAGGGCATAATAGGCTATTCTAGAGGTTGAGAAGTTAAGTTCCTTAGAAACTGATCTTAGCGCAAAACAGGCAGCGCTTAGTTTCTTTGATAGAGCTTCAATGTGAAAGTCCCATTTTAACGAGTTGTCTACAAGAAGTCCTAAGAATTTCACAGAGTCCACGACGTCAATAGTAGTGTTATTAATTACAAAAGGTTGTATAGTACTTTTATATGACAAAACTTTAGTTTTTGACCACTACCCGTACCTTGGATACTACTAGGACCTTGGATAATGCCCGTACCTTGTAAATAGTCCGTCCATAAAACAATGTACGTCCATAAGATAATGTACGTCCTAAGACCCTAAAAATACGAAACTCTTGTTTAGAACCAAATAAGATCTAATAAACAAAATAAACCTACCTCGAAACACTTCCGAGGGCTCAATAATAACCAAAGAAACTGTCCTTTCTTCCATGTAACATTCTGGAGGACAAAAGAAAAGGGACGCCAACGTGCCAGCAAAATACCATGCCATTACAAATACAAGTTAAGTTGGGACATCCAAAACTCTACCCTAAAAATATGCAGTAATAATATCGAATCTAAAAGGATAATATTTCATCTTTACCTGTTGCTTTGAAATAGCAGCTGATTCAGATCACAAAACACATACACAAGGAGAAGTGCGAGCGCCTTGCTAAATATTGGAAAGTGAAATTGACGTTTAAATTTGACACTGTTGACAAGTCTACTGCTACTAGCGCCCCCAATATCGCTTGTAGGAACTACGGACTAGATTGTAACGCCTGGCGGGAACTTTAAAAAAAGAAAAAAATTTAATTCATTTATTTTTAATTATGACATACATAAAAACACAAAAAATACACCATTTTTTAAAAATATGTTTAATATCATTATCAAATATACAACAGAAATTAATTTCAACAAAATAAATTAATAAAATTAAAAAATAATGTTACAAGTAGATCAAGAGACAAAATTAATTATAACAAAACTGAAAAAAATGGCGTCATAGATGGCTTAGAAATGACGATATATATCATAATTTTGAAAGTAAAATTATATAGGAAATGTCATCGATCATCATTTTGAAGCCAACTGGACGATTATTTCAAACATACAAGCTGAGTTCGTTCATAGTGCTCTGAGAAATCTAGATAAACAAAGAATAATAAATTAAAAGTATTCCAGGGAAAAAGAGAGGAAAAACCTGTATCGTCTCTGATATCTGTCAGGGTTTTGTTGAAAGTGTCATCTTTTTGCTCGAAGTTTTCAGGTCGATTAAAAAGATGACATTTACAACAATACTTTGCCGTAACTTTCACAAATATCAGAGAGAGAGTACAGGTATTGCCTCTCTTTTCCTCTGGGATGCTTTATATCTGTTCTTCTTTGTTTACCTATATTTCTAAGAGCATAATGCCAAACACGACTACAGTATATAATAATTTCAATATCCTAAGTGGAAAGAAAAAAGATCACCTTTCTGTTTTGTACTATGGTCCCTTTCTTCCGATGGCTCATCTCGTTGATATTTAGGAAGGTATCCATAAAATATATATTTTATTATCGGTCCTGGGATGAAAAAATATAAAATTCAATTTCATTTGATGATCCTTTTCTGTCACCTAAATCAGGAGAATGACAATGAGCATGTTAAGATGAAAAAAAACTTATTTATCAACACTTACCTACACGTTAGTCCAAGGAGTTTTATCAAAAACCTATATTTGCCTAAATAATTTATGTATTCAATTTACAAAGCAAACTGCAGCGTGTAAACAAAAGAAATAAAATGGCGACAAGTCAACGTCAACGACCCGACAAGGAGAAAAGTGGTGTTCAAATAACAAATTATGGGTTGCAAAAAATTGTTTTTGTCTCCTTTCAACGCACACTTTAGAAAGAAAAAGAGATGAACAGTTATACTGGAAGAATGTCAAGGTTTTATCTGTCACTCTTGTCAATAATTTATCGGTAAGGAAGATTCCTAGAAAATCGCTTGTATTCAAGTTTTCAACCATTTCCAGTTCTCCCATAAGAAGTGTCATCCACCTGATTCAGATTATACAGCAAGATTTAAATAATCACCATTTCTAAAAGCCGGGATGGTTAGGTTAGGCTACAGAGCGCTAAAAGCAAAAGTGAGTCAGACAGTCAGAGAGTCAGCACAGAAAGTTGACCGAAGCGATGTTGACAGCGCCTCCACAGAGCGATAACAGGGTTGTGTCAAACGATAACAGGGTTGTGGACTAGAGAACGTAAAAATTACGCCAAGCGCGTCAAATAAATTATCCGGCCTGATCGATAAGGAATCCGGTGACGATACGCCAGACATCATATATAAAAAATACATGTAACGAACTAAAAACGTTACAAAACATTAATAAGATAGTGCAGATATATACCGTGATTATGTATATTTATTTATATTTTTAAATATTTAGATAATTCACAAGTCGATAGTGTTGAATATTTGTCTTCAATCTTATGATATGTAGATTCATTATCATTCTTTGTTCCAAAGCAAGCCAATAATAAATTATACCATCTAGTTTTGGTTTTAGAGCCAATAGGTACAATTTGTACTGAACGAGAGGTAGTCATTTTTACAGTTTGGACTTGCATAGGAGAATCTACAGCAAAACTACAGTGTGGGCTATTTTCTTCTAACTGTTCCATGCGATCTTGATTGCTGTTATTTTCTAATATATTTTTATTCTGTTTATATTCTTCATATAATCCATTATTATTCTTGTTCAATTTGTCTAGCAGTATATCTGTTTTAATATGTCCTTCTAGCTTTCTAAACAAAGTCCAGTAATAATTGTCTAGCTCTGTATATTTAGATTCTGGACCGTTAAAGATGCAACTGAGGCGAGCATTAGTTGGATCAGGTGCAATGTCGCTGCAATTTGTAGGAAACGATATTGTTCCAATTGTTTTAAAAGTTGCATTCCCATCGTTAAATGAACAATCTAATTTTGGTCGTGGCAAACAATATCTAAAAAATTGAAGGTTATATTTTACTTATAAAATCTTCTATACAAATGTTATTTATAAGTAGATTAAAGCTGTAATAAATGAAAGATCAATTATTTCAATTTCACAATGACTGTTGTTTGTATGTATTACATTTTTGACTTATGTTTTAATTTTTAATGAAATCAATTAGGTATTTCTTCACTTAGCATAAGGTCTGTTCTATCAACTTAAGCGTTGAGAGTAAAAATTCAAGACAGTGACACTCGGCCTTGAATGACGGCCGCGAGACGGACGTGACGCGCGAGAGGAGAAGTGGTAGCGACAGTGTTGCCACAGCTACCCCGTTGTAAAACAATTGAGCGTCCGGATTGCACAACGACCTTAGCGCGTGGCCGCGGGCAGCCCAGTAGGCAAGCGAGACAGCGACGCGCCGATTTAACAAAATAAATAATTTTAAACCTGCCGTCGTGTCATTTCGTTAATAATTATCGTATCGTGTTGATTTTTGCATAGAAATACTCATGAGTCTTTAGCACTTCCGACAAGCCTAAATAAATGGATTATTTTTTATATTTTCGATTTGTTTACATTACCCGAGCATATTATAACTTTGAGATAAAAATTTCTGTTATAAATTTTAAAACTGACAAATATGAATACTATCATTTAATTAGTTATACATTTAGTTACAACATATTCAAAATTTTGGTCTATGAGTTTATGCTAGGAGTAATAACGAGTATAAATAAAAAAATGGTCAGTACAACGCTCGCCGTTTTTAGCGCACATTCAGCTTTGGTTTTAGTTTTAGCGCTATTTTTACAGAAAATAAATTCTGAACTTTGATCAAATGACAAGAACATTATCATTGCCAATATCTCCTGGTTATAATGTAGTTCTTTTTTCAAAATATTGCATTGTTTTAGCTTAAAAAAAGACTTGAATTATGCGGCTTTTTTGCGAGAGCTACCGGCGCTGCGTTAATAAAGAGATGGCTATGTACGTCAATCGAAAGACAGTATTTGCGATAGTCTTTTGTATACAGGGAGTATAGAAAATTTTTGAAAAACCTGAACTATGCGGCTTTTTTGCGAGAACTACCGGAGCTGCGTCAATCATAGCCACAATAGACTAATTTTACCTCGTCACAAGATTTTTTGGAAATAGTGCTTCCATTTATCCGGATTTCTACTAACTTTTGACTTTTCTTTTGGATCGTATTTCTCTCTATTTAATAATAAATAATTTAAAAAAAGGCACAAATACTACTGGTAGTAAACAAGCTGTGGCAAAAATTTTCTATACTCCGTGTATACAAAAGACTATCGCAAATACTGTCTTTCGATTGACGTACATAGCCATCTCTTCATTAACGCAGCGCCGGTAGCTCTCGCAAAAAGCCGCATAATTCAAGTTTTTTTTAAAGCTAAAACAATGCAATATTTTGAAAAAAGAACTATATGACAACCAGGAGATATCGGCAATGATAATGTTCTTGTCATTTGATCAAAGTTCAGAATTTATTTTATGTAAAAATAGCGCCTAAACTAAAACCAAAGCTGAACATGCGCTAAAAACGGCGAGCGTTGTACTGACCATTTTTTATTTATACTCGTTATTACTGCTAGCATAAACCGATAGACCTAAATTCTGAATATGTTGTAACCAAATGTATAACTAATTAAATGATAGTATTCATATCTGTCAGTTTTAAAAATTATAACAGATATTTTTATCTCAAAGTTATAATATGCTCGGGCAATGTAAACAAATCGAAAATATAAAAAATAATCCAGTTATTTAGGCTTGTCGGAAGCGCTAAAGACTCATGAGTATTTCTATGCAAAAATCAACACGATACGATAATTAGTAAAGAAATGACGGCAGGTTTAAAATTATTTATTTTGTTAAATCGGCGCGCAATAACGCGTCGCTGTCTCGTTTGCCTACTGAGCTGCCCGCGGCCACGTGCTAAGGTCGTTGTGCAATCTGGACGCTCAATTGTTTTTATAATTATAAGAAATGTTTAATAATGGGACGAATGAATTTTTATTTTATACTATTATTAGAACATACTTGCAGCCTTTTACGTGTTTGCCCAGAACCAGTATATCTACCATACATGCCTCACATTCGTTTTCAGTAGACTTTGGATATTTATCTTTTGTTAAAAATATACTATCAAAAAAAGGTTTTGTGTTTATCGCTATGTTTGTCATATGCATTACAGTTTGATTTTGGCCATCCTAAAAAAACATAAAAATCTTAGTTTTTTTTATAAATTTCTTGATCATAGAGCAATTAAATTATTATATTTTTTGATTTACAAAGTATGTTAAGTTGACGTTTCTTTTAGACACTCAGTGCTAATCTGGACGGTGTCTTTTGTTTACGCGGATTCCGAATTGTGACCCTCAGTCCATAATGGCCTATCGGTTTAGCGATAGGCCTATCGGTTTAGCGATGTCTAAATCGACTCTTACGAGATATGTGATCTCATCCGAGATTTTACATAAAAAGTTTACATACAATAATATACAGAAATATGATTGTGATACATTTTTCCAGATTTACATTTACTTTTTAATAAACTTAAGCTTGTTAAGCTGAGATAGTTTTCAAATTACTTTAAAGTAAATAACACTCGGTTCTAAAGAAATATAATTTAAGCTGATTTATTAGACCTGCGTACATGTTTAGCTATAATTATTTAATATATAACTGCCGAGATCGATGAACTATCTTCAGATTTCATTTACCTTATTTTCGGTATCACTTTCGGCGTTATTTAATTCGTCACTTACTGGTTCTTCTTGAACTTTATTTATGTCATTCTGTTCTAAATCATTTCCATCGGCATCAAGAAATTCTGAATCTTTATTATCTACATCAGTAGAGTGTATTGACGCGTTATTAGACTTATTAGATGTATTAGATCTATTGGATCTATTAGATTTATTAGATTCATTAGATTTACTAGATTTATTAGACTTGATTTCGTCTGTATCATTACTGTCCATTGCGTGTGTATCGTTGACTTCGGGAGATGTTAAATTTGTATTTTCTAAATGGTCATCAAAGTTCTTTGTTTCTTCAGTTTTATTGTTTTTGTCACTGAATTCCTCGTCAACTAGATGTTGATTTTGATTTGTAGCGTCATCTTTGTGTTCAACGTGTTTAAGTTCTTTTGCTGAATTGTCTACAGGTTTATAATTTGACTCTTCGTTACCTTTTGTCGTTTCTGGTGTCTCCGGATGGGTTTTGTCGCATTCACTTATGGGACTACCATTTTCTCCTGAATTTATGCCTGTTATGTAGGTTTTTCCACACGTTACGGTTATTACGATAGGCTCTTTTCCATGATTTTTTCCGCAAAGGCAGATATGTTTAGATGACATAATCAGCTGTCAGGTGTCATTTATTTGTGTGATGTTAATCAAGTTTAGATTGGAAAGCCCGTAAAAATTTTAGGTCGCGAAATTATTTTGGGTGGCGACCGTTATACGCGATCTGGCGCTGTTATAGCGGTCGCTAAGAACAACGGCAAACAAAAACAGAAATAATTTTCTCTTGTCAAAGTCGGAATCTTCAAAAATCATAATAATCTTTCAAAATCTAAACCGCTCTCATTAAAGAAATTCCGAAAAGTGTTTATAGCGTCCATTTTCAAATTAATATTGCTATCTTGTGAGTTTAATTCAAGTTTTATTTACTCCAACCGGTGATAATTGTGAAAAAGTGGCATTAAAAACTTAAAAAGCTGTGCTGTGAACTGTGAACTGCATGCAAAAACCATCGTGGATCGTGGCACGTTCCATAGGTATTTCATACGTGTCCTTATATAAAATAAAGTTTCTTGTATGCAACACATTGTATTTTATTTATAAAATTAAACGAAAATAATAATAAATTTGAATAAACAATATTTGACGATATAATTCCGGAAAAAGCCGAACCGCTCCGAAATTTTCAAAAGTTTTGGGTCGCGACCGTTGCAAGATAAGCGCCAAATAGTGTTTACATTGTCCTTATGGGCACTTTCTAATCTAAACTTGTTTCATTTATCTCTGTGTTAATTCAAAATTGAGGTTTGTAATAGTAGTATTTTTATGGAGGAGCTTTAAGCTCTATCCTTTTGGCTCGGATCGATTTGTACCATTTGCCAGCATATTAGTTAGATTTCCAATCGTCTGGAATTTTGGAAATCTGATTCTTTTTTTCGTACGTTTGTAGTCCTAATTTCTTATTTGTTATATTATGTTTCTTTCTAACTGGATTTTTCTTCTCGATTTATCGCTGTTCTGAAATATTATTCGAACTAAAATTTTAAAAAGGTAGGTAGTGCGCCAGGCGCGCACTGAAGTGATGTGGCGGTGGTGAGGTAAAGGAATGGCGTGAAGCATAGGAATGGTGATTAACTGGCGTGGCACTGGAATAGTAGCGAAGTGGCATGAAAGTGAAGTAATGCGTACTGCAGTAGTAAGCGACGTTGGTGTTACTGCTTCATCTCATCAGTAATTTTATTATTATCGAAAATGTCATCAGCCTCAGAGGATGAACTAAACACATCGTTATTGGATTCATCCTTTGTGGCAGAAAAATAAAACGTTTGGTATTTTAAAAAAAATATGTATAAAAAGAATTTGAACCTGGATGACATATATAAATAATATAATTACGTATTGAAAAGGCAGTTGCAATTCAAACTTTATGTGATCACCAGCCGCTTGCCAGTCGAAAATTAAACTTGTTGGAGACCAGTGGCACCCGACTCCATCGCCACCCCACTCTTAGATAAGATTAGATTCTTAGAGGTGGCTTTCGGCCTGATCCACTGCGACCTTCTCAGATCTATTATGGTCCTCTTCTGATCTGATTACATTCTCCAGTCCTATTCTTTTCACAAAAGTTAGCAACTTGGAGACTGAACCCTCCATGTATCTCCCTGGCAATGGCTTATCATTGCCTATTACCGAGAACCGCACATTTGCCAGGCTGTCAAACCGACATAAAATGTGTTCTGACGTTTCTTCTTCAGATTGGCAGAACCCATAGCTTCGTCTGTCAGTCCCATCAGCTTTAGATGCCTATTTAGCTTACAATGCCCTGTTAGTAGACCTACTGCAGCTTTGACTGTCTTTCTGTCCTTGCTTATCAAATCTACCGTGAATTTTGGCGAATGTTCTACAATGAACCTTTTCGCCTGTCTCTGTTCTGGTGAGTTTCTCCACCATTCTAGAGATTTGTTGGCCACCTCCGTGGCCATTCTCGTGACCGCCTTTGCAACGCCGCAGAAGGGTTCTGGGCCCATGAATGGCATCGATGAGTCTTGCTTGGCCCTTTCATCTGCCTTTTCGTTACCCTTGTGACCCTCCTGCGCTGGCACCCAGGCCAACGTAACAGTGCTACGTTCGCCCAAAGTATTCAGAGCACGCACACAGTCCCACACTAGTCTAGAATTGACCTCCGCGGAGCCGAGTGCCTTTAGCGCCGCTTGGCTGTCTATGAAGATGGCCACAGAGCGATTTGTTCATTGCTGCCGTATTATTTCTTCTACACTATAGTGAATTGCCGTTATTTCTGCCTGGAAAATTGTGACATCTTCAGATAGGCTTACGTGGAAGGATCTCCCTTGCTTCGGCCCTACTATCTCAGCTCCTACGCCTTCAGACGTTTTGGAGCCGTCTGTATACCAGGTTGTCTCAGCTTGAATGGGTACACCTTTACTCCAGTCTTCCCTTCCTGGTATGGTTATTTGCATCAATTGGTAATCCCAATACTTAATCACCCCACTCTTATTGGCGCGGCAGAATTTCTTTACATAGGCTTTGGCAGATCCACTTACCACTCGATTACCACACCGGTGCCACGTTTTGGTGAGCGCCTTGCTTTAGGCAAGGTGCGCATTGAAGTGATGTGGCGGTGAGGCAAAGGAATGGTGTGAGGCCTGGGAATGGTGATTAACTGGCGTGGCACTGGAATAGCGGCGAAGTGACATGAAAGTGAAGTAATATAATATCGCACTGCAGTAGCAAGCGACGTTGGTGTTACTGCTTCACCTCATCAGTAATTTTATTATTATCGAAAATGTCATCAGCCTCAGAGGATGATCTAAAAGGAGAAAAAAAAGAAGAAAAAACATAATATTGTTCATCTTTTGTGACAGAAAAATAAAACGTTTGGTATTTTTAAAATAACGTTTATAAAAAGGATTTGAATCTGGACGACCAAAAGTTTAAACTTTTCTATCAAATGAAGATAGTGATATTTTGCAAGTTACAAAGAATAATATAATTCACATTTTAGATCACAGTAAAAAAATATTTAAATAATATAATTACATACTGAAAAGGCAGTTGCAATTCAAACTTCACGTGATCATCACGCTTGCCAGTCGAAAATTAAACTTTTCGAAGACTGGTGGCACCCGACTGATGCCACGCCACTTACAAAAGACCGCTCCAGCGGCACTCCACTCTTATTAGCGCGACAGCGTTTCTTTGCGTAGGCTTTGGCAGATCCACTTGCCACTCGATTACCACGCCGCTGCCACGTCACTTACTTACCACCTTGGTGCGCGCATTGCCTTAAACATCTAGAGTTAAAACGTTTGTCACTCCCGCCCAGCAGAGGAGCTTTGACAAATGAACCAGGTCGGAGCGAAGGGGAGCGGGCTTAGAGTTGAGTTGTTGAATAATAATAGGTATTAGTATTAATAAAAAAAATCCCTAGGACATCAACGAAAATATGCAAAATTTTTAATGGAGTGCCCGGAGATGTTTACCTTGGAATTCAGTTACTTTGAATATATTAATATGAAACCTTTTGTATTGTGTTTTATAGATAAAATACTAAAATGTTTACCCATTTTTTCGTTTTGCTTTTAATTTCTCATTTTACTAATTTTAGTGAACTATTAGTTTTTCCCTTTTTAGCTGATTTTTTTTTCAATATTTTTTTTTCTAATATATTTATTGTAGTAAATGAATCCAGTACATAAGCTATGTCTAAAAAATGTCTATACCTATGTGGCGGATTTATCTCTCCAAAAAAATCCTTTATGGGTGTTTCGCCACTGCACTGCAAGAAAAATCTACAAAATAAAATAGTGATTTTTTGTAAACACTTCTGCGTTAAACCTAAACGGACACTGCTTGTCAGAAGATGTTTAAAGTAATAAAAATTTGCCTAACAAAGAAAAAAATGCTTAACGTTTCGGAAACTTTATCTTTTTTCGTCGTCGGAAGCAAAAAAATACAAAGAAAAAAGATACTATAAAAAAAAAAACTATAAAAGCAAAATGTTCTCGAATAGTTTTTTTTTTGCTTCCGACGACGGAAAGAGATAAACTTTCCGAAACGTTAAGCATTTTTTTCTTTGTTAGGCACATTTTTATTACTGTAAACATCACTTCTGACAAGCAGTGTCCGTTTAGGTTTAATGCAGAAGTGTTTATAAAAAATAACTATTTTATTTTGTAGATTTTTCTTGCAGTGCAGTGGCGAAATACCCATAAAGGATTTTTTTGAAGCTATGTCTATTCTGCTTATATTCTGATCATTAAAATTTTGATTGATATAGAATTATACAGGGTGGCGCCTGATCCGGTGACAAAACCACGATTTTAATATTATTTCAATGCGATGATGAACTGTAACCGGGACGGCGCGGCGCGGCGCTAATTTCTAATTTTTAATAATGGAAGTTGTACGAAGTTTTTATTGGCTCCTGTAAAATCCTGTTGTTTAGCCCTCGATATGTCACACAGTTCATTACTTGGATATGAAGGTCGGCGACATTTCATATATAATTTTATATATAAGATAATAGCGATCTTCTCAAGCCAACTCGAACGCCGTTTTTTTTTCATCATCATATGATATATTTTTTGTGTTTGTACAGGATATGGCGATTCTACAAGAGCATCACCGAGCGAATCAGCTGTGGTCAATGACGTGCTAACTGTTTATCAATGGATACGGAATCGAACAAAAAGCAATATTTTTATATGGGGCCATTCGTTAGGAACCAGTATTTCTAGTCATGTTGTATTAAAGATTCAAAATTTATCCATTGAGAGGCCATTAGGACTAATTCTAGAATCTCCATTTAATAATATGAGAGATGAAGTAGGCGAGTTTCCTTTAGCTCAGGTAATAAGTGTGTAAATCAAACCGAGTTCTTTACATTTAATTTACGAACTACTTGTAGCTATTTAAACATTTACCTTGGTTTGGCGCAACTGTCGTTGGTCCAATGGCGGAAAACTTTCCATTTACTACTGATAAGTACATTTGTGGGATCAATATTCCAATTATGATTCTCCACGCTGAAGACGATAAAGTTGTACCTTTTAAATTAGGTCATAAGGTAAGCGATATAAGTTACTATGGGGAGAGTAGCAATCTTAGATCTTATAAACTTCGTGGATAAAGCCATGCCATATGTATATTACACACGACTTTGTTTACGGGACTTCCACGTGCATTTTTCTGTTTATAGCTACTGAGCATGCGCAGAATGATATTAAACGTGAATGCTAACTTGGGGCATTTTTTCGCTGCGTTGACAACAATTATTACTGAAAATATGGACCTTTAAAATTTTTTAATCAAGATAATGCTAAGGGCTGGCAAAGGTTAGTCTTGGGTCGAGATTTCCGTATGTAAGAAGAGTATAATGCGTTTATAATGTACTGAACAAAGAGAGGACAGTAAACACGTTGCCAAACGTATGAAATAAACGGAGAAACTGTGCACATCGCTAAGAGACATGGAAGGGGATACAGCAGATTTGTCGCAGTTGACCGGTCGACCCAATCAATACCTCTGTCAGTACTTAAAGTTCTAGGGAAAGGTGTACGTCATGCGTTCAGCTTCACGATTTAATTACGTCTCGTGATACTCAATTTGTTTATTTATTAACGAGTCGTTGTAATTTTCCCTATAGCTTGAATTTTTTTAAGTGCAAGCTAGAACACTTGCATTTTTGGTAAAAATAAGTGGAATTGAGTGGGTGTTTGATAGTGGTCGCGCTATTAGAACTCTGAATTCAAAAATCGATATCTCGAAATCTATTAGAAATAATAGATTGTAGTTTTTCCAAGAACTTTGTTAATATTTCTGCTGTATTTTCTTTAATCTTTATCAATAAAAAAATTACACGATTGCTGAAAATTGCTATGCTCTAAAAGTAAATGGATGGATTGTTTACAATTTTTGAATGGAAAAAACAACCTTATCGAATTTTTCTTATGTAAACATATTGTAAAATATCCGATCTTGAAAATAAAAAAAAGTTTCAATATCTAAAGTGGTTCTTGAGTTATGGCCTGTTATGTGTTAAAAGTTGAGTCTTTAAATTATCGCGATTACTGACGTTTCTCGTTATAAAAAAAATGACACCTAACGATATCCTTATAATTCCATTTCAGATGTTCAGAAACATGTCTAATGATTTTATCTAGTTATCTCTTGAAAAAAAGTCTTTTAAAAATAAGCGGTTTGCGATCGTGATTTTACTTTACTTGATAGGGAAAAGCGTATCGGCAACGCCGCAACAGCACACCGTCGCGCGTCGCGTTGATCGGTCGTATTTCTCTCACTCCGACTTAATAAGATCCCTATGCGATTTACTTCCACACATGTAAATGCCGACCAAAAAGTAACAGTTGCCAGCACGGTATAACTGACACGTGTATTTATTATTTTGAAAATATTTGTTATATTATTTCAATAGACTTTTTATATAAATTTAAACCAAAATTAAATCATATACCTAGGCTATAAATTCTTTTTTAAAAATATTTTAAAATACCTCTACTACTTTAAGAAATAGCTATGATGAGTGGGCAACACATGGAATCAGTAATCAGGGAAACATTAAAATATGTTTTAACATTGAAAAGTCAAAACCATGTCAAAACCATAGACAAACAAATAAAAGGAGACTGATAAATCTCATGGTAAAGAGTGGGACCGCGTTCCCGTAGCGCAACTCAGAATAACAATTTTGAAACCAATTAGCAGGACCATGGCAGGACATAACTCAAGAACCACTTTAGATATTGATTTTTTTTGTTTTCAAGATCGGATATTTTACAATATGTATACATAAGAAACAAAACAATCCATTCATTTACTTTTAGAGGATAGCAATTTTCAGCAATCGTGTAATTTTTTTTATTGATAAAAATTTTCACATACTGTCTACAAAGAAAATACAGCAGAAATATTAACAAAGTTCTTGAAAAAACGACAATCTATTATTTCTAATAGATTTCCAGATATCGATTTTTGAATTCAGAGTTCTAATAGCGCGACCACTATCGAACACCCACTCAATTCCACTTATTTTTACCAAAAATGCAAGTGTTTCTAGCTTGCACTTAAAAAAAATTCAAGCTATAGAAAAATTACAACGACTCGTTAATAAATAAAAGTAAGTATCACGAGACGTAATTAAATCGTGAAGCTGAACGCATAACGCAACACCTTTCCCTAGAACTTTAAGTACTGACAGAGGTATTGATTGGGTCGACCGGTCAACTGCGACAAATCTGCTATATCCCCTTCCACGTCTCTTAGCGATGTGCACAGTTTCTCGGTTTATTTCATACGTTTGGCAACGTGTTTACTGTTCTCTCTTTGTTCGGTACATTATAAACGCATTGTACTCTTCTTACATACGGAAATCTCGACCCAATACTAAACTTTGCCAGCCCATACGAATAACAATATTATTTTTTCTGTTTAATATATTTCTATATTTTCTGTTTCATATATTTCCCGAGCTAAAATTTTAATTTATTTTGTAAAAATGACATATGCCCAAAAGAAAAACAGACGATTCGTCGGTCAGTGTCAATGACAAAAATGAAGCCAAGTCCAACAAAAATTAAGCGAATTCCAATAACTTTATAAGATCTAAGGTAGCAATACTAACTAATATACCGGGTTAGCAAAAAGTAGCCTAGATCCGGCTAAATATTACAAAGACCAGTAGTGATAGTTTTTTGAAATTTTATACATGCAGTATATTGATAATAGCGGATTTTCCAATAACAATGCAAACTTTTATTCTTTAAATACAAAGCTGTCAATTTTATTACTTGTTTAAATTCTTCTTAATATTCTAAACTGATGTTCTAAACACAGCTTACTCACTAGATAGCTAGTCATTTCACGAGGATTTACATGGAACACTTCTACCTCAGAGCCTATAGAGGCCGAGGTTCAACAAATTAGAGACAAGGTGAAATTTGGCATGGAGCTTCATTTTGTAGATCTTTAAACATCCTGAAACCCCAGCGATGAACCGTTGAGCCCGTCACCCCAAAACTACCCCTACCAGGGGTAAAAATGGCCATTTTTTTACTTTTTCTTCAATACCTCTAAAACTACGAATTTTAGGAAAAAAAGTCACGAGTAAAAAATTGAAGAGAAGAAAATTTTCTACCACATAGGTAAAGAACCAACATTTTTAGAATTTCAGTGGCGCAGGTGCGAATTCTTTAATTTAAGAGGATTGTCTTAATAACCCACCATTCTGTGTTTAACTTCAAATGAAAGCATTTTTGAGATAAATCTCGAGACCAAAAAATTTATTAGGATACAAGTTCCTATAAAAACGATCTTTTTAATGAAGGTAAGTTACCAGTGGCGGAGATAATTTTTTTAAATGTGCGTTTTTTACATTTTAAAAACATTGAATAAGAAAAATTGCTGTTTTACAAATAATTTCAAATGAAATAGGTATATTGAAGAATTTACACGTTTAATAACAAAATAAGAAAAACCTTTTAATAATAATTAATAACAAAATAAGAAAAACCGAAAGGCTCAAAAATAGGATAACTTATCTTAAGGATAGTCCTCATTCATTTCCACATTTGTTGGGTTCGTACATGTAATGCCATTGCATTGACCACATGTCATGGTGCAGGTGAGTCCCATTTGCTTGCATGTACATGCTTTTTTACAGCCTCCCGAAGAGCAGTTACAAAATGTTTTCTCTAAAATCCATGTAGGAGCAATGGGCTGGTCTGAATGTATTGGATTCATCTCTCGATTTTTCATTTTCTAACCCCAATCTTGCGGTGGTAAATTGTTATTTAACCAAGCCTGGTACCTGTAAGTTAAAAATGAGAATTTAGTTTAACATTTGAATGCAACATAAATTTAACTTACCTGATGAAAAACTCAAGTCCATGATATTTCGCACTATTGGAGGTAGGTGGTAATGATGCCAAGTTGAAGTTGGTATTAAGACTTTGTTTAGCTACGTACTGTTGATAAAGAATGTATCTGGCACTATCCAAATCTACTTTTTTTGTCGAGTTTTTAACACATGCTGCTATAAAAAACTGAGATGTAACTTCTTCTAACTTCTCCTTTGTAGCCTCGGGATTATAAAATTCTTTTAATAGCTCACATAACTTTTTCTTTTGGATGGTGTTCACTAAATTAATCTTTCCTTTATTGATTGATATTGGGTTTTAGAGAAAATTTTTTGCAATTGCTCTTCGGGAGGCTGTAAAAAAGCATGTACATGCAAGCGAATGGGACTCACTTGCACCATGACATGTGGTCAATGCAATGGCATTACATGTATGAACCCAACAAATGTGGAAATGAATGAGGACTATCCTTAAGATAAGTTATCCTATTTTTGAGCTAAGGATTTTCTTATTTTGTTATTAAACGTGTAAATTCTTCAATATACCTATTTCATTTGAAATTATTTGTAAAACTGCAATTTCTCTTATTCAATGTTTTTAAAATGTAAAAAACGCACATTTAAAAAAAATATCTCCGCCACTGGTAACTTATTTTTATTAAAAAGATCGTTTTTATAGGAACTTGTATCCTAATAAATTTTTTGGTCTCGAGATTTATCTCAAAAATACTTTCATTTGAAGTTAAACACAGAATGGTGGGTTATTAAAACAATCCTCCTAAATTAAGGAATTCGTACCTGCGCCACTGAAATTCTAAAAATTTTGGTTCTTCACCTATGTGGTAGGAAATTTTCTTCTCTTCAATTTTTTACTCTTGACTTTTTTTTCTTAAAATTGGTAGTTTTAGAGGTATTGAAGAAAAAGTAAAAAAATGGCCATTTTTACCCCTCGTAGGGGTGGTTTTGGCATGACGGGCTCAACGGTTCATCGCTGGGATTTCAGGATGTTTAAAGATATACAAAATGAAGCTCCATGCAAAATTGCTGCTTGTCTCTAATTTGTTGAAGGTCACCCATGTAAAACGATGTATCGGCCCTGAGCTACTCGTACTTACTTCGATACTCACTTATCTTAAGGCCGACTCTGACGACTCGTGTACTTGGCAAACATTTTTTTATTAGCATACAGGGTCCGGCGATAGTGCGTCTTAGTTCCTATAATAAATATAGCAATAGCTCTTAGGGTTTGGGTTGGATTGGTATGGTTTGACACTTTCGTTTTCATCTGTTTGATTGATATTTTGGTTTGACAAATGGCTAAATTACCGCCGGCGGTATTGGCAATTGCTAGTTATAGCTCTAGCAATCAAAACAAGCTGTAAACAACAAAACAAAAGAGTGAAACCAAAGCAATCAAAACAAGCGTAAGCGCAAGCATATTTTTGAGAATAGAAAAATGTTTTCTCTTATTTTACCAAAAGTTGCATTGTTCCTCAACTCAAGCTCTTTAGTTTTGTCTAAACAGCATTAGAATATAACATTTTATAGAAAATTTGGTAATTTCGAGGACCCTATAAAGTGAAACGGATCCCAAATAACACCAAAAATATAATAAAATATTTTGAAATCTAGTGCATTTTTTAATTTAAAACTATACTAAAAATGGTTAATTTTTTAGATCTTGTTAGTTTTGTCAATTTTCCCCTATCTGCTAAAATAAAGTGGTGGGGGAAGGTTAGATCTGTTTTAATTTAAATGTTAATAACTTTGGATCCAATAAACGAGAAGATCGTCTAAAAGAGCATTCCTTTCTCTATATTTTATCGTATAAACAATAATTATTATTAGCATGTATTTAATTTTTAAGTGATACAATTAATCTATTTTTTTGTAGCTATATAAATCTGCCAAAGAATGTAGACTTGATCATCAGGGAGATATTCTTTTCCATTCTTTCGATGGGAAGTATCAGTTCGGACATAAATATATATGCCGGGCTACTGATTTGCCTGATAAAATAAGGTAAAAATCTTTGAATAAGAAGACTAAGGAAGGAGCATAATGAATGAACGTATTCATGCATGGTGGGCGGAAAAAGCACTCTAGGGTGGGGATCCTTGACAGTTCTGTTTGACGATTCATTTGACACATTTGAATTTGATTTGAAATTTTGTGGATTTGTCAGTCTTTACGGAACTTATTTTATGTTATTTATTATTTATTCTACTACTGATAGTTGTAAGCAATGTAACTGAACGTTTACACATAACTTTAGCTCCGACCGTATGTCGGATAACTATGAAGACATACGTTCAGTATTTCTTCGAATTGTCTTGCTTAAGTTAGAAAGAGAGCGTATAAAAGGGAATTGATTTGATGTTAATCATAGTTTTGTGACGTGCACGCAAAGATCCGTTGACCCAACTGTAACATCATCATTCTCAGCTTATTCAACCATTTCCAATTATGGTGTAACCTCCTTCACATGTTTAGATGCAATCGACAATATCCCCCATCTGATGCAATCTACCTTTATTGGAGCAATAAAATTTCAAAATATAAAACAAAATGTTTAATTAAAATGTATTCCTGTTCAGTTTCTTTTGATACACCCTATGAATGTTTTTAGGACGCGAAACCCACCTTCTTTTATTGGCTGCATTTCTCTTGTATTTCTTATATTACCATTATTAATTTTCTACTTTACTGTACAAGGTGTCCCACTAAGAATAGCTCTCGGCTGTATCTCATAAAATTTAACCGTAGGGCCTGCGAAAAAAATACCGTATGATCGAATAAAAACGGCGTCATAGCGATGGCTATGAAATGAAGATCGCTGTCATTTTCTATGTAAATTTATATGGGAAATGTCATCGATTTGTCATTTAATAGCCATCGCGGACGCTGTTTTTATTCGATCATACGGTATTTATAACTAATGAGGCCATGAGAACTTGCTGGAAATTACTTTCAAGTTTGTATAACGGCCGCTAGAGGGCGCAATCGCTATGGAAAATAAGAAAATGGATTTTTTACAAAATTTAGCCTAGATAAGGGGTACTAGGTACTATAAATAATAGCTTCATGGTTTCGGTGAACTATCCTGACACAAATTTCTTTTAGAAAATGAAGCCTATGTTACCTTAAAATGAACTTCTTGGATTATTTGACTAATATCTAATGTGGAAAAACACGTTTCACATATCCAAACTAAAATTTGTTATTTTATTTTTATACCAAATTCCCAGGTTTTGGTTTGGGTTGGATTGGTATGGTTTGACACTTTCGTTTTCATCTGTTTGATTGGTATTTTGGTTTAACAAATGGCTAAATTACCGCCGGCGGTATTGGCAATTGCTAGTTATAGCTCTAGCAATCAAAACACGCTGTAAACAACAAAACAAAAGAGTGAAACCAAAACACGCGTAAGCGCAATAAAGTGGTGGGGGAAGGTTAGATCTGTTTTTATTTAAATGTTTATAACTTTGGATCCAATAAACGAGAAGATCGTCTAAAAGAGCATTCCTTTCTTTATATTATATCGTATAAACAATAATTATTATTAGCTTTTTAACTTAGACGCTAGGGGGCGTAGTCTTACAATTTAACAAACAGTTAACATTAAGTGATACAATTGATCTATTTGTTTGTAGCTATATAAATCTGCCAAAGAATGTAGACTTGATCATCAGGGAGATATTCTTTTCCATTCTTTTGATGGGAAGTATCAGTTCGGACATAAATATATATGCCGGGCTACTGATTTGCCTGATAAAATAAGGTAAAAATCTTTGAATAAGAAGACTAAGGAAGGAGCATAATGCTATCCATGTATTCATGCATGGTGGGCGGAAAAAGCACTCTAGGGTGGGGATCCTTGACAGTTCTGTTTGACGATTCATTTGACACATTTGAATTTGATTTGAAATTTTGTGGATTTGTCAGTCTTTACGGAGCTGATTTTATGTTATTTATTATTTATTCTACTGCTGAATAGTTGTATAAAAGGTAGTAAATCTAGATGGAAATTGTGGCAGAACTTAAATTAACAGTAACACTATCGCGATTTATCGAAAAGACTCTAAACTAGTTGGTTGTGCTTAGCGTGCGGTAGATCTCGGCAAAAATTAGTGAAATAATGGAACAACTTTTCGCTAGTAAGTATATAATATACATACTGGCAATAAACCGATCATTTATGAAATTCACTTAAATTAACTAAATTATATATTTTTCTTGCATTTTGGCTTTTATTTGCACTACTTGTCAAAGATCAGATGTCAAAGAATTTGATACGTTAATTTGACTTACCTGCTTCAGTAGCGTATCGGATGTTTGTGTTAATAACTACTTATTATAACACCTATTTTATTAGAATTATATATTTTATAACAATTTTAATAGGTAACACCAACATTTATTCACAACGTAAAATAAAATAACAAATTATTGAGTCTACCCCGTCTACCCCTACATCATAGTTTTACATTTTTTAAATAAAATTAGAACGGCACTGATAAACCGGAATTTAAGTCGGCCATATTTGAGGCCCATCGCGGTGTACCTAAGATTTTTGATATGCTCCTTCCTTAGTCTTCTTATTCAAAGGTAAAAATTTATTTTTTGATTAAATAATAAAAATCATATTACAGGATTTATTAAACAGTTTATATTATATACTTTTTTTACAGTGATTTCGTCAATTATGCATATGAGACTAAAAACAAGAACAAATTGCAGTATTAATAGCAATTTATTTTAACTACGTGCCTACAGTACAGCATTCTAATTAAAGAAACGTTGAATTTAATAAGTATAGCATGGTAATACAACTGTGATTATTTTTGTAGGTTGTAGTATTATAATTAATTATATTGTAGAATTTACCAATTATTTAGGGATCGCAGTGATATTATATTGCTTATTTTAAATTAGGTACATTATTTCTTTTACATTTATTATTTATATTAAATTTACAAAGATCTATACATATTCTGATAAGACAAGTAATCTTTTAATAAATAAGAATTTTTCTTTGTTTTTTATTTCAACTTCGTAGCATTTCACAAATGTTACATTTGCAAGAATAGATGAGAAAAAAAAACATTTGTCTTTTGATATATTGACTAATACAGCTGAGGTAGGAGTTTGAGGCGCATGCAGAAGACTGATATATTTTTAAATCTCTAACTCCCAGCTTTTATTTTAAATAAAAGTCTTGATACTGATCTCTAGCTATCTATTGTGGTTTGTTCTGTAAGAAATCCAAAATTATTTCTATGTGTATACATAGCCCATATCCGTTAAAGCTGGATCATTTATTATTATTGCAAACTATACAGGGTTGTTCACCACATACGACACGGAGTATTGTAGCTAAACGATGAGATTTTTACAAATTGTAAGTTTGGGGTTCGTTGAAGGACTATTAGAGCTACAATTTAAAAATATTTTTTCAAGATACAGAGTGTCCCAAATAAATAAAAAATATCAAAGTTGTATTTTTTTAAATAGAACACCCTGTATATTATTACATTTTTAGTTTCTACGATTAAAATAAAGGTAAATTTGATTAAGGTTTATGACACTTAAACCTTACCGTTTTTGAAATATTTTCAATTTCGTGAGATTGTAGTAAAAATTTTAAGGCTCTATTTTTCCAAGGGTATCAACGTTTTTAATACTAAATATTTACTGACGTTTATTTATTGATCAGTTATTGTGTTGCAATAATAAAAATAATACTACCTCATACAGAGTGTCTAAAAATTTATTTTAAATTATTTCTAGCTTTAAACGGCAATAACTTATTTAATTTAAATGGAACACCCTGTATATTTTGAGACAGTCAGATGCACAATTTAATTTTCTATCAAATTGCATTATTCTATTTTTTACCTATCCCTTCAAGTTTTTTGTAGAAAATGCATTTTCTTATAATTTAGACCTCATTTATCAATATATCCATGGAATATTGACATTTTAGATTGTTTTTAAAGCAAAAAATGTACAAAATGTACAGACTAGTAATATTATCGTTTTTAGCAAAACGATAACATGTTAATATTTTAGCAAAACGATAATATTACTAGCCGATTTGTATGCAAAACGAAAACTATTTAAATCTTTATAAAAGAGTATACCATTAATTAAATATAACACCATTATTTCCGCCCATATACTAATTAATGACATACTTAATTGTGTTCGTTAATAAATTATTATAAATAAATGTGGATTTTTCAGTGGAGTCAGAAATCAATATAATAATAAGTTATCAAATTAAAGTCTTTGTTGTTATAAATAAGCATTTATTAAAAAATGAAATATCATTTTTAAGGTGTTACTTTTTATCACACTGTCTAATGCCCATACAAAATTCAGTTTTTTAGTATTTGGAGCAATTGTTATTATTAATCAACGCAAACAGTCAGTTAATGTAGTTTGAATACTGGAATCATATTAATTGGTCCCCTTCGACAAATATTTAAACAGTTTTTTTTTATTTTTTAATGAAATAAACGAATTATATCGACAATATTAGTATCTGTACTCTTTAAAAATTTGGGACATCTTTAAAAATAATCTAAAATGTCAATAGTCCATGGGTATATTGATAAATAAGTTCTAAATTACAAGAAAATGCATTTTCTACGGAAACTTAAAGAGATAGGTAAAAAATGGTATAATATAATTTGATAGACAATTAAATTGTGCATCTGATTCTCGTAAAATATACAGGGTGTTCCATTTAAATTAAACAAGTTATTGTCGTTTGAAGCTAATAATTATTTAAAATAAATTTTTAGACACTCTGTATAAGGTAGTATTATTTTTATTATTGCAGGACAATAACTGATCGGTAAATAAACTACAGTAAATATTTAGTATTAAAAACTTTGATACCCTTGGAGAAATGAAGCCTTAAAATTTTTACTGCAATTTCACAAAATTGAAAATATTTCAAAAACGGTAAGGTTTAAGTATAATAAATCGTAATCAAATTTACCTTTATTTTTAATCGTAGAAACTAAAAATACTTAATAATATACAGGGTGTTCCATTTAAAAATACAGAAAATATTACAAACACTCTGTATATTTTAATTGACCACCAAGTGGCCTCTAACTGGTCGCTTCATCCAACAAAACAGTGTAAAATATCGTTATACTCCGACAATAAATATAACTTTCCCTATATATGAATTTTTTGTTTTCATCAATAATATCTGTTTGTTCCTTTTCCTGATTTATTGAATATGTAGTTTAAATATCTTAAAAATTTTAGCCGTAAATTATTCAAATTGATATTACATCTGGTTAAGTCTACAATTCATTTAAATAAGGAGACATAGATGTTCAGCAATGGAGTTGACATGGATGGTACTTGCTGCAATATGCAGCAAGCGCTTTGTTTATGCACTTTTATTACTGGTTTATTTAATTTGTATTAACTCTTTTATTACTAAAGTCATTGAACTATTTAGCTATTTCTGTATAGCTGAACGATTTTATGTTAAATCTACTACCTCTCTTACTGCTATTTCTATTTTTACCTCTATTATTAACATAAATAATAGACCTACACATTTCACTATTTAACTTGCACTAGGCGCAAAATTTGTTTCTATTTACCTATTTCAAGTCTATAGATTTTACTAGTACAAATTGGTTTGGTTTTGGTCTAACTGTCGAAGAACTATCCGCGCGGCAGCCGATTTGATAAAGAAAAGTTCCAACGGATTGTAAACATAACCAACGTCCGAAGACAAACAAGGTACCAGAAAAAGAGGAAGGTTTTGGAGTTTTGGTTCTTCTGATTATAATGAAGGAATATAATTAAGTTTAAAGATATAGATGTTATATTTTTCTGTATCAAATATCTACCCTAAAAAGGACTAGTTATTAACATTTTTACTCAATCGAATATCATGCACCTAAACAATATCAGAAGAGTTAGTGATTTTCTAAAAATATTCATTCAATATACAGGGTGTTTCAAAAATACCTGCTATATCTCGTGGGGAGATTCCTCATTACCCCCAAAATTTCATTCGAATCGCTGAAAGCACTTGGAAGAAAATTATAATAAATGGAAAAAAATTAAGAATTTAACCCCCTGTAGCTACGAAACAAAGCAGAATCGGATCTTATAATATTTCTCAATATCCAGTTGGATATCTCTGTAAATTTCCGAAACTTTGCTTGCCAGTTATTGCGCATCCCTTTAACGCTGAGTCTTCATATTGTTTTTTGAGTAAACATTTAATTGTTTGATTCCATTTTTTAACGTTTGGAAAAAAGAAAATATTTCAATTTTTTTCTGACTGCAGATGATCTTCAGTTTTTATATTGGACTGATAACATATGCCTGTTTTACGTTTTGGGGTTTATATTTATGTACTAAATGAAGGTCTTACTAATTTTAATAAACGTATATTAAAGTGAAAGTAAATTAACAAAACATATCAACTTCTATTCGATAATAGACAAGGACAACAACATGTCTGAATGACATCTGTCTAACAGGTCGTGGCTACAGGCACGTAAGACGGAACATTATAAAGTCCATATTCAAACAATGCCAAGAAGTTTTATAATCAGTTGTTCGTGGAGTAAAATGGGGCATTAGCGGTCATTTATACAAATTCGGCAATAAAAAGCAAAATAAATGTAAATTTATTCTCAAAACATCTAAATGACGAACAATATTGTGATTTTTTACAAATATCACAAGTTAAATGTTTAAACCGGCACGTATATGGCTGTTGTTTACTACAAACCTGACAGCTGTTATTATCTGACATCTGACCTCCAGTTTGACGTTTCCCTAGGGGCCGCCATATTGTTCCGCCCTCCGCGCAGTTTGCCACTGAAGGCAGGTCTGTTCGGCTTCCCTCTTCTCGGATCGGCTGGCTCCGGGCCTCGACGTCGTGGTTCACCCGACCTACCTTCGCCTTGGTGTGATCTTCCGACGAAATTCATTTCTATCGGCGTCCCCTTCCTTCCTGAGCGTAATTTCCAACATTTTTACCAATGGCGTATTTTCATCTTCTTCACATAGTCGATCGAATAAAGGACGCTTCCTCAAACCCGTCACGAATTTATCCTTTAGGAAGATTTTCAGGTCTCCGGTGAAGTTGCACATGACGGCGATGCTGCGAATGCGCGCATTCCATTCGGTCACCGTCTCCCCATCTTCCTGTTTAGCCTCATGGAACTTTCTCCTTTTTTTCCATGTTACCGTTTTTGGGCAATATTGGAGTTTTAATAATGCCGATCAGCTCATCTATCTTCTTCGTATTCGGATGGCTTGGGAAGCAAAGATCTCGTAGTAGTTTGAAGGTTTCACTCGGTAATAAACTCAGGAGAAATGCCAGTTGGTTTTCCGTTTTCGTTTCATTTGCTTTGAAACACTCCTGCAAACGTTCTGAGTAGATATTCCAACAATCCGTTGCTGGATTATATTCTTTGAAATGCATGCTGGACGCCATTTTGAAGGTGAAGGAATTTGCCGCCGACCCGAGTTCGCGTTTCCTGTTTTTCCTCGTCGCCAATTGTGATGTCCGGTGGTTATATTAATTAAACAACTTTCACATTGAATGGGTTTAATACTGATCTGAATACTTTTACATTATTAATTAGGTATTTAAATGATTAAAGGTACAACATGGGTATGAGCAGTACTTCTACGTTGGCGGGCGGTTGCAGACTCTCCTTCGTTTCGGTGTCGTGCGCTCTACGTCCGTGTGGATGCGTGCGCCGCATGCTGGTTGGATGTTGTACCGTTTGTCCCTTTTGTCAATACGGTACAGAATGGTCCAAGTGGAGAAACACATATTTTACAGGAAACGAAAAAAAAACAATTATTTCAAAAAGGAATGATAATTTTGTGTTGCGTGGTCTGCACAGGAAACTTGTTTATTATGCTACTTGGAGTTATCTCATAGAAACATAAGATTTATTATCCTATCTGAAATAGGACTTTTTGCCAAAAATATCTGATGATTTTGGACCCTTCTTCCACTCAGATTTTTTTAAATGTTCTTTTTTTGTTTATTTTTTTAATTTTTTTTTCAGTCTATAAAATATAA